GGTGACTGAACAGAGTCGTGGGGGGGTCTCATTACAGGGAAGATTAGTCTGGTGATTCACGACCTGTCAGTCTGTCAGTCTCTCTGTCTGTCTCTTCTGACGTTTGTCCAATAATTTGTAAAGCCGACTTCTTTTCTATCTGTTGCTCTGTCGGCCTCTTCCACCACCTCCTCCTCCTCCTCCTCCTCCTCCTCCTCCTCCTCCTCCTCCATCATCATCTCCTCCTTCATCTTCTCCTCCCTTTGAGGCCATGTGTCCATCTGTCGAGTTGTCTGTCAGTGATTGAAGTGAAGCTCGGATGGAGAGAGAGAGAGAGAAAACACAACCCCCCCCCCCTGGAGATAAACATTGCCTGGGTCTGCAACACATTGAGCTAGACACAAAACGTCCCACAAATAAGAGACACACACGAGCGTGGCCGTCAACGAGGTAGTCTGCGGCTGTCAGCTGGTGATGGCACTGAGCTATTGCTAAGTTGACAGCTGAAGTATCTTACCAGAGTTGCTAAGGACAAATATTTCAGACTCCCAACGTGGTCGACTCTGGGGTTTAGGACTTTGACACATTCTTTTGTTCCCACTGAGATTATAGTCTATTTTGGTGAATTCTTAAGATAACTCTTAAATGTTTCAAGGATACAATACAATACTTTCAAATAAAATACAATTATATTTTATACTGCCCTTGCTTGTCTCTTCAGTACCCTCCCTCACCCTCAACTCCCCTCCCTCACCCTCAACTCCCCTCCCTCATTCTTCTCTCCCATCCCTCACCCTTAACTCCCCTCCCTCACTCTTCACTCCTCTCCCTCACCCTTAACTCCCCCCTCACCCTTCACTCCCCTCCCTCACCCCCTCCCTCACCCTTCCACTCCCCACCTCACCCTTCACTCCCACTCATTATCGGCCTCCTCCTCACTAATTCTCCTCACCTCACCCCACCCCTCACCCTTCACTTCCCACTCATTCACTCTCCTCCTCACCTTCACCCTCCCTCACCATTCACCTCTCCTCACCCCCCCTCCTCACTTCTTCACTCCTCACACCCTTCACTCCCCCACTCACTATTCACTCCTCCCTCACCTTCACTCTCACCCTCACCTCCGTCCTTCTATGATTGGTGTACTTAACTTGTACAATACGCACCCTAAACTTATTCACCAGCTGAAATATGAACCAACTTCACCCACTGGAGAGGAAATGTTCCCAACTGCTGACGATGAGGTGTTATTATAACGTAAGGAGATTAGATATAGAATGGTTAACGTTGCTAGGTTGGGTTGGGTTGGTTAAGGCTGGCTGGGTTGGCTATTGGGTTAGTTGGTTGTTGGCTGGCTACTAATAGCTGGTTGGGTTGGTTGGTTAATAAGTTGGCCACTTAACGCAGTCAGTGACCAATTCGCCATATTTAACTGATCCAAACCTGAAACTAACTAATAAATACCCAATAATTCACAATAAACATAAAACACTACAAAACTTACATTATTTATTATTATTCAAAAGAGATAAATCACTTTTAAGAGTTCTAAAAATACTGAGAATTTGTTTATCTATTTTTTACCAGACTCTCTACTTACCAATTGAGAAATGAAACAATTGAGAAATGAAACAATTGAGAAATGAAACAATTGAGAAATAAAACAATTAAGGAATGAAACAATTGAAAAATGAAACAATTGAGGAATGAAACAATTGAGGAATGAAACAATTGAGGAATGAAACGATTGAGAAATGAAACAATTGAGGAATGAAACAATTGAGGAATGAAACAATTGAGGAATGAAACAATTGAGGAATGAAACGATTGAGAAATGAAACAATTGAGGAATGAAACAATTGAGGAATGAAACGATTGAGAAATGAAACAATTGAGGAATGAAACAATTGAGGAATGAAACGATTGAGGAATGAAACAATTGAGGAATGAAACAATTGAGGAATGAAACGATTGAGAAATGAAACAATTGAGGAATGAAACAATTGGAAAGTTATCGAAAAAAAAATGTCTCGGTTTCAGGATACTCACCGGAGAAACAAGGCGACAAAAATCTCAGGAGTGTTGCCAGAAATGTCTTGTAAGATGTTGGTCGCTAATAAGAGCTATTGGGAGACGATTTACCTTGTGTCTGTAGGAGTTTTGATACGTTTTGAACACGCACGCACACGCACACACACACACACACACACACACACGCACGCACGCACGCACGCACGCACGCACGCACGCACGCACACACACACACACCCTCCCCCCCACACTCACGTCCTGACCACCCCCCCCCGCATACACACCTATAAGCAGAGGGTAGGATATACCGGTTTTATATCATTTACAACGGAGACTCTTGGTTCGATTAACTATTGGGAAGACAGGACCCACGTTGGCCTGAGTCATATGTGTGTAGAAGTGTGTGTGTCCCCTTAACTGGTGGTGTAATGGAGCCTTTAGAGTCTCAAGGGTTATTCTTGTATATATCAAAGAGGATTTAAGGGATTTTAGGACTGGATAAAAGGGTTTTGTACATATGTTAAGGGGTTTAGGTCTGGATATAAGGGTTTTGTGTACTCTCTCTCTCTCTCTCTCTCTCCTTCTCTACTTTTTTTCTCTCTACTCCACTTTCTCCCTTTCTCTATTCCACTCTTTCTCTCTCTATTCCTCTTTCTCTCTATCTATCTCTACTCCACTCTCTTTCTCTATATTCCTCGCTCTCTCCCTCCCGTTCTCTTTATACCATTTTCTCTCCCTTTCTCTCAATCCCCCTCTCTCTCTATTCCTTTCTCTCTACTCCTCTTTCTCTATCTTTCTTTTGTCTTTCTCTATTTCATTCATTCGTGACACTCCACATATACCCTTCACTTCCTTGTTATTAAATTCCCCATCACTATCTCTCAATCTCTCACAATGGTTATTAACACGTTTATTCATCTCTCTCTCTCTCTCTCTCTCTCTCTCTCTCTCTCGTGCTTAATGTACTCTCTACAATCCATCCTTCTCTCCCTCTTTGATAATTTGATCCATTACGTCATCATCATCACTACTAAAACATCATCATCATCATCACTACTAAAACATCATCATCATCATCACTACTAAAACATCATCATCATCATCATCACTACTAAAACATCATCATCATCATCACTACTAAAACATCATCATCATCATCACTACTAAAACATCATCATCATCACTACTAAAACATCAACATCATCATCATCATCACTATTAACATCACTACCATCACCACCACCACCACAATCAATATAATACCTACAATCACAAACAATGGAACTGTCATAACAAAAAACAAACCATCATGAAACACAACCCACAAGTTAATAGACTTCAATGAAAATATCCAATCCACCTCCTAATGGCTTGGCTGTTGTCGTGTCCTCAATGTCATTATTAAAATTTTAGATAAGAGATTCTATAAATAACCACATTAATGGGAGTATCAGTTTGGGAAAAGAATAAAAATTAAATTAAGTTCCTTTAAGACGTTTCAGAAGACCTTGGAGATGAGATGATGAGTGATGCTGCGAGACAAAAATAGAATGTTGATAAAATGAGTCGTCCACTGGGAGGCATTCTACTGGGGGGACGAGGTGTGAGGGAGTCTGGGAGGAGTAGAGGGGGGTAGGGGGAGGGAGGGTAGAGGGGGAGGTGAGGGGGTGAAAGGGTAGGTAGAAGGGAGTGAGGAGGGAGAGGGAGGGATGGGGGTGAGGTTGTTTTGCCTCCTCCGTTCATCACCTCACTCACCACCCTCCTCCTCACCCTCCCTCACTCCACACCACCCTCCTCCTCACCTCCCTCACTACTCATCACCCACCTCCTCCTCACCACACCCTCACTCCTCACCTCCCTCTTACCACTCTCATCTTATCACTCTCCTCCCTCACCCCTCATCTCCCCTCCTTTCTTCACCCTCCTCCTCACCACCCTCCTCACCTCCCTCACTCTTCACCCCACCTCACCCCTCTACCCCTCCTCCCTCACCACCCCTCCTCCCTCTCCTCCCTCCTCACCTCCCTCACCCCTCCACCACCCCTCCTCCTCCACCACTCACTCCTCACCACCCTCACTCCTCACCACCCTCACTCCTCACCCCCCTCACCGTATTGGATCTTATCATTGTCTGCAGTCTGAATTTTAATGGGATATTTGAGACAGTCACGATTATTTCTTCCTGGAAGTTCATTAATTGTAAGTTGATCTTCAGTGATGCGTAAAGTTCTCTTTGTGTTGTAGATGAAAATACAAGAACACGAAATTCCAATAAACTTCTATTTAAGGAATAAGTCATTTGCATAATAAGAATCTAAATGAAGTTATCCATATAACAAATTTCTTCTGTTGTTGAATGATTCTAAGATTTTATAGATACATTTTTTTTAACTATAAATCAATTTCCTCTAAAATCGTCTTATTTCACTTTGCTTGATATTTCATTTAATTTTTTTAATTCTGGAGAAGGAAGATTTGTACACCATTAAATTCTTTAGATTCTGACGTATTAAAGTATAAGTAATGTCTATGTTGATTGTTTTTGTAGTACTCGACAGCAGGAGAGCCCTAGAGTACACATATAAGAACATATTAGTGTGATCATCACCATTGCTTTGCTAACTCGGTTGATTTTACTTAATAAACGTACTTACTGTAGCTGATTACATGAGGAACGAGAAACAGATATTTGACAACAGACATCAATGAACATACTTTCAAAACTACCATTATTTTTGTCTTACCTTGTTGATGATTTGTTGTTCAATTCCTCATCTTTACCATAATTTTTTTTGGGGGGAGGATGCACAAGTGTAAAACAATTGAATAAAAATCCTTTGTCTGATTTTACACGACAATGCATAACCAGAATAATGATGAAAGGCTTGTGGTAGAGAGACCTGACACTTACACAGGCTTAAGTGTATACTCTATGTCAGGAGAGGGAAGACATAGACACGGTACAAAAACTCGGTTATGTCTGTACTTACACGACGAAGTGGTAAAAGAAGCAGCACCAGCCACAGGGATGCTCCAGGAAGAGGTAGGTCTTCTCCTTCATGGTCTTGCCCTTCTTGTTGGTGAACACATACTTAGCCTTGAACGCCTGGTCCATCGGCAGGAAGATTGGGTAGAAGTTCTCCGGGTAGGAGGCGGACGTGGTGACGTTGACGGTGATGGGTGGAGACTCCTTACTGTCCTCCTCCCGGGGTCGTCGCCGGATAGGGGAGGGATGGCGCTTGTGATGGCCGTGGCCCAGTCGGCGGCCAACATAACGACGAGCCTGATTGAAGCGGCGGCCAGGGTCCCCAATGTGTCCGGCCTCCACATCCATGCCAGGACCTCTGGGATTGTCTGAAGGTAATATGTCATGATGGCCATTGTCTCTGGTGTCCGCCAAGGAAGACTGCAGGGACAGCCAGGGGGGAGTGTCAATGTTGTGGGAATCTAGCATGCGCTTCTCTTCAAGGTCAACCTCAGAGTCGAAGCATAGAGCCGTCTCCAGAAGTCGATTCGGAATTTCTTCGTAGGACCTTCGTCGTCCTCCACTCCGGTAGCCGAGAGGAGCTCGAGTCACAGAGAGAATAATGTCGTCAGGTGTGCCAGAAATACAGGAGATGCCAGAGAAGTTACTTTCGGTCGTTTCCTGCCGGTCAAAAAATCTTCGCCGCGCGGACACAACACCTCCATCTTCCCTCCCCTCCCCCAGCATGGCCGCCGACACTGTCGTCTGAAGCAGTTCAGAGGGCTTCCTCCCTCAGTCCTAGGCTGTTTCCCCTCACTCCTTCACTGTCTCCCTCTCCCCCGGCAAGGATAGAGTTACTACCGTCAACAATGGTTGTCACAAGGGTTCGACATTGTTCTCTGTCAGCCAGCCGCTCACTATCATATACTGCACGTTAGACAGGCCAGCGCACTCGACACACAATCACTTTTTGCTTCTGACCTTCCCTCCCGTGCACTGAGGTCACCTTTGACCTGACCTTGCCCCCGGAATGTCATCCGTTCCAGGTTATGATCAATTATTCCGTGGGAACGCTCGTTGCCGTTCACGATAAAGTTCATTTTTTTAGGGGGTTAACAACTGGATTTTTGGCAAGAACATTTATTGTGTTTTATGCTGAAAAAATAAAAGTCCTCATATACAAATTGACAGCTACAAAAGTGAGTGAATAAACAAATTGTCAAATATGAATTGATGTCCATGTCATGCATGCGTGTACATGTGGGTACGGGCGCGCACACACACACACGTATACATTTTACATTATTATACATGCGCTCGTTCATGTGTATGAGTATAAATATTTCTGTCTACATAGATGGACAATACACAAAGGCCATTCAGTTCAGGTAGTGTGCTTCCATAACACACATTGCCTCCCCTCTACGAGTGACCTAGCGGAACACCTCACTGCCGACCTAAACACACGACTCTACCTTAATACACCTTCATCAACCTTGTTTTACTCTCATACAGGTTATTATCAATACCGAGGTCGATTTTGACCCATGAAGATTATATTTCTACAAACCTCACAGAAGAAATAGTACGTCTTATATTCCTCGAGTCCCAAGCTATAATCGTTTTAACCCTTTGAGTACAACCTTGAGAGTACAATGACAACCTGATGGGTACAATGACAATCTCCTGCGTGTAATATCACCCTATACAAAGGAACAGATCATCGTATTCAAAGGTTTAAGACGTCGAGTTTGTATACTATAAGATATGTAACTGATCCTTAATTAAGTAATCTAATATAACCTAGATTAACCTAACATAACCTAGATTAACTTAACCTAACCTAACCTACTCACAGCTTAGATTAGTTTATGTATTTTCACTCGAGAAAAAGAAGACGCCATTTGTGTTTACAAGAGATGCCGGGCCGAGTGTGACGACCGATACGATATTTTATACTAAATTCTCCCCTTCACCTGACAAATACCTCACTAAAAATTATGAATAAATGAAGAAAGATAAATATAAATAATTAAACACAAAGAATAAATAATACTATATAATTAGATAAACGTTTAACAGAAAGATTAGCTGGTAGGAATTATTCTTTTATCAACAACATATGGGTTCAGGTATCCAAGATGGCTGACTGTATCCCTCCAGCCAGGTAGATGACACACTCACACCTGGAGAGATCACACCTGCTAATTAGGAGACTCTCGGTGGCCAGGTAATGTGTCAAGATTGATGAGGCCGACTGGAGCGCCAATGGTTAGGATATATACATATATATACATACATACAATACATAGACTTTACCTGAGAAACAGACAGATACAAAGACAGACAGACAGAGACAGACAGGCAATCAGACAGACAGACAGACAGAAAAATAGCAACAAACATGAACACATATATAAAGACATACATACAGACACACGTTGACGTATCCAGACTTGACAATGGTTGACGTCACCCAAGAAGGTCCCTCAATACACCAACCTTTCTCCCTCTGATGGCTTTCTCTCCCTCCCTCTCTCCCCCCCCACCCCCTCCCCCTCACCCCTTGTCGCCTACCACCAGGAGAAAGGAACCGCTCTGCAATTTGAGTTGTGGTAAAAGGAGGGAGAGAGAGAAGCACATTTGGTGAATAGCATCAAATATGTTTCATATAAAGGAGCTTCCCTCCCTCCCTCCTTCCTTCCCTCTCTCCCTCCTCCTCCTCCTCCTTCCTTTCCTTCCTCTCTCCTCCTTCCTTCCTCTCTCCTCCCCCCTCCCCTCTCTCTCCCTTGTCCTTTTACATATCCTCCTCCCACACTCTGCCTCTTCCTCCTCCTCCCCACCCTCCTCGTTCGCTCCCATACTCCCTTTCTTCCTCCCTACTCTCCTCCTCCCTTCCTCACCCTCCTTCTCCCCTTCCCACCCTCCTCCTCCTCCCCACCTTCCCTTACATTCAGTTCTATCAAAGACATTAATGTAATTTTCTAGAATATATGGATGGTGGAGACTTTTGTTATGGTTTCAAGAAAAAATTATCTATTTATGTATTAGTTTTCTCAGTCAATTCCCAATGTTTTATTTTTTATTTTGGGTTTCTAATTTTTGGAGGAAGGTTGTCTGGGGGTAACATTGTGATTATTGTTGTTTCTTGGAGTTATTGAAATTATATAGATGTACAATAGGTGTGTATATATATAGTATGTTCTAGTCTCACACACACACACACACACACACACACACACACACACACACACACACACACACACACACCCTCGCCTTGTTGGGTTCACATTGCTCGTATTGTTTACACCTGTCCGTATGTCCGTATATCTGGACTGTGTATGTATACCGGTACTATGTATGTATATTCTGATTCAATATTAACTTTTATGGAGAGAGAGAGAGAGAGAGAGAGAGAGAGAGAGAGAGAGTTCTTTCTTGCACAGAAGGAAAATCCATGAATATATGTCTCAATTTTTCCCTCTGCCTTTCCAAAACAAGATACCTGACCAGGTTTATAGAATGCCCATCAAACACTGCTCTGATCTCTCTCTCTCTCTCTCTCTCTCTCTCTCTCTCTCTCTCTCTCTCTCTCTCAAGCAAAGACCATTGTTACCTGAGAACATTTTACCAGGTGAAATATTTTAACATCTTGAGGCTCTTGATACTGTCTGCCTTAACGAGGAAGTTGGGTGTGGGATTGAAGATGGGAGGGAGGGAGGGAGGCTAAGGAGGAGGCAAAGGAGGGAGGCTAGGAGGAGGGAGGAGGCTAAGGAGGAGGAGGGAGGGAAGGGGAGGGAAGGGAGGAAGGGGAGGAGGGAGGGAAGGGGAGGGAGGGAGGGAGGGAGGGAGGGAGGAGGGAGGGAAGGAGGGAGAGAGGGAGGGATGGAGGAAAGAAAGAAGGTAAGAGGAAGAATGGATGGGAGGGAAAACATTCCATTTTCTCCACGTAAACGGACAATATTCGTCTCGTTAACCCCGATAAAACCAACACCTTGAATAGACGAGTTGAGGTTTATCCTGCGTTGCCATGTTAATGAGGTCGAGTTGAGAGTTCGGTTTCGTTAGGTCGGACTGGGTCGATTCTAAGCTTGGTTTGAGGCAGATTAGATTAAATTAGGTTAGCCTGATTTAGATTTACCGTTTTGGGGGTTGGATTAAATTATGTTTGTTTCAGTTAAAGATGGATTAATGCACGGTGTACGTAGAGATTAACCCTGAAAGACTAAAAATAAAGTTAATCTAATCAGAGTTTGGATAAATTTAACTTGAAGTTGGTAATATCTGTTCAAGCTTGACTGGGTAATGAAATACAATAAATGACTGATAAACTTAATTCACCTCAAAACCCTACAATAAAAATACCCTACCAGTTCACATTGACTCATCATATATAGAGAAAAAGGCAGGTATGAAACAGATGAATTCATAACAATACCTGCAGAGTTTTACCTGCATGTCATTACCGAGGTCGAATTCACCTGGGTTTATTCTCATGATAACTTGGCTGTTTATTTAGAGGCAAAAATATAAGTTCAGTGTGTACAGTGATGCGCCCCTACCCACCTGTACCCAAAGGGCCATTGTTCCACCACCTTTACTGTGAAATTGTCTCGTTTTGTTCCCCAAGAATGAGGAGATGAGTTCCCCCATTTGTTCACTGACCCGACACAATGACCGTCTTGATTTCTTTTACTACGGAAGAGGTTATTTTTGGAGCGTCCGTCACTGATGAACAACTGGGGTACAGTCTCGCCCAAAAGTTGGTTAACTCTCCCAGCCAGCTGTTGCTTCACTACCTGCTTCAGATGTATGAAACTGTCTCAGTACCAACCAGAACATGAAACCGATACGAATGAATCTAAAGGTTCGAAGTAAGAGACTCAAGTTCATACATATGAAGCAGGCAGTGTAGCAATAGCTGGCTGGTAGAATTATCCAACTTTTGGGTGAGACTGTACCTCGGTAAACAGGCAGGGTTGGGTTAGGTTAGGTTAGGTTAGACGAATATTATCCCCGACAGCTCGCAAGTCGCCAAAGATATATCGCGAATTCTTGACTGGCACGAGGACAAAGACACAAGTTCTCGCCTTTTCATCTTATCAACGAATATGAACAGACATGAGAGAGAGTTGATGAATGGAAGAGGAAGGGGAAGGGAAGGGAGGAAAGGGAAGGAGCCTGAATCCACTGAATGGAAGTATAAGTCTTTCTGTACGTTGATTCACACCCAATGGTCGCCCGCCATACCACCTTAAGAAATGACATAAGATATTTTAATATATTATAACAAATCACTACTTTCGTCTTATTAATTAAATACCCAGGCAGGTTAACTCACTGTACTCGGGATGATGATGACACTGTCCTCTGAAGGTTAAACTATTGTACTCGACGGGTTTACTAATGAACTGAAGAGAATGGCATTGTACTCTTAGTTACAATATCGTACTCACCAGGGTTAACTCACTATACACACCGTACTCAAGAGGTTTAACTTATAATTCTCAAGTACAAACACCACTTGTATCTTGTTTACAAACGTACAAGAGTAATTTATTCCCTTATTTTTTTTCTTTCAAGTAGAGAGATCAACAAAGGCAATATTACCCGGGGAAGAATTACTTTATTTACCCTCAAACACTAAATGAATTACGCATCTGCAGTGAACACGGTGACTACCCAAACAGGTCTTATTAATGAGACTAATAACATAATCATACAGGTAAATGAAAGACAATAGGCATTATTAAAAACACGAACTAACCAACATCACCACCACAAGTCAGTGTTTGTTTACATTCTGGTGATCGCTTCTACTCCGAGGCAGAATCGAACACCACCAAATCATTTTTTTTATTATAATTTCTTTTCCGCCTTTAAAACTTATTTCCATAATACTATTTCTTTTTAATATATTCCCTTTTTTATTTATTTTACTCCTTTTAAACAGTATAGAGAATGCAGTTTCCTCACGCGTATAGAAAGAAGAGAAAATAAGTTCCCTTCTTGAGGAATAAAATGACCCGTTCCTCAAATGGTGAGTTAAAGAGACGCCATTATGTCCGCGACAATGAACAGGGGAATGACCCAAACAAAGACCTTCTTCCCCCGTCTACACTCTTCTTCCTCTACTCTTATTCTTCTCTCCATCCTCCTCTTATTTTTCTTTTCCTCTTCCT